TTTAATTTTAAATTAATTAATTTTAATTTTAAAAAAGAGTGAGTTTTTATCTACTGCTAAAGCCAAGTGATGTCTTTCTGTCACGTGGGAAGAGAACAGGCAGTCCCTGGTGTCAGGTCCTCTGGTTTTCCTTTCCTTTCCTCCTCTGAAAGAAGAGGAGGAAGACGAGCCTGTCCGCTCTCTCATTTCAAGGTGAGATGAGACACAAAGCTAGGCAAGGGCTTCTTTTTAAACCACGCGGGTAGGAGGAGGGCAGAGAGATGGCTCAGTGGGTAAGGGTGCTTGCCACCAAGCCTGACCAACTGAATACGATCCCTGGAACCCACATGGTGGAAGGAGAGAGCCAATTCCTGCAAGCTGTCTCCTTCTGAACTTGATGCTTAGCATTTGGCTAGACTGGTTGTCCAGAAAGATCTGGGAATTGACCTGTCTCCAACCTCATCCCCACCCCAGTGGTAGGGTGAAAGGCATACTGCTGCATCTGGCCTTTTACAAATGGGTGCTAGGATCTGAATCCAGGCCCTCAGACTTGTGCCACACGCGTTTACTGACGGCCTGCTCAGCAGACCCCAGACTGTCCCGAACTCTGAGCAGCCAGGAAGCCTCCATGGGCATGTCTCCCGGCACTGTCTGGCAGAGAGCTGCGCAACACACCCAGGGGTGAATCTGACTGATTTCAGAGGTGTTCCTCCATCCCTAAGAGGCTGTGTTGGCTCCATGATCCTTGGAGAATAAGGAACCTCACAGGATTGGTGCAAGGATTCACCAGAGGAATACCTGAATCTAGCACCCCAGAGACATACCTGAATCATTGTTCATGACTTCAGAACTAATCTTTCCCTGGATTTTGAGCCTGGATGACCCAGTTGTCCCACACGCTCCCACCCACCTAAACCAAGTCGGGGGAAACAGGCAGAGTGAAGAGAACGGGTGTTGTGGCGTCTCCATTGCTGAAAGGGAGCTCTTTATTGGTTAGAAAAGGGAGATGCTTTTGCCGGTCCAGGAAGAAACACAAAGACCAGAGAGAAGGGAGGCCCCGGGAGTGACACCAGATGCACGGCCCGACAGAAGCATCCTCATTCCATTCCTCAGGCTGGTGGTGACTGAAGCTGAAGGAAGAAAGCCATGACATCATCAACAATAACATCTGTCCCACTAAACACGAGTGTCAGCAGTTTAAATCCCGACCTAGCTTCCTCCTTCCTCTACCACACTGCACACACAGCGATGCACCGCCTTCTTGGGAGCTCTGCCTGCATCTACCAGCAGGTTGTAGACCCGTCTCTTATACATCAAATCAAACCTGTTTCAGGACCTCCCTGAGTAAGCCATGATCCCAATTAACCACTATGGCCTCTCTGGAGACCCAGAAACATTTATCTCTTTTGAATCTTCCTTTGGCCACTAAAACGTTTCACTGTGCCTTCATTCCTTAGATCAACTTGAGCTGAACTGGCTGAATAGGTGACATTTATCCCCATTCTGTAAGGAAAATAATTATGGTCGAGGAGCAGGAGAAGCTAGGTTAAGGGTCAGAGCAGAAATCTGGTCTTCCTGCTTGCAATGCCCACCATGCAGTCGACATTCAAGGAGAACGTTGGCCTCATAGCACAGTTCAGGGTCCTAGGAAGACCACAGCTCCCTCCTAACCTCTGAAAAGCATACTTTGAAATGACAAGCATGAGACATTGGGCACATTCCCCATCTCTGGCTTTGGTTATTTCTGTGTATACTAATAGATACCCCCCAGTGATCTGTGGTTGCATCCAATGGCTTATCCAAGTTCTTGTTCATCATGCTTCCTCTGCCTAGAATAGCATCCTACCCTGCATCTTGCCAAACCATGAATCATGGCCTAATCTTTTTGTGCCACCTCAAGGTCAGCCCCTGTTCCTCCTCCATCCTCCCTCCCTCAAGCCTTGGTGGCATTTCCTTATGTTTCCCACAGCAGTGGTCACTGATTAATGGCACAGGCTGTGTCATCAATTCTTCCGTCTCAATCACTGCACTGCAAGCTGGAGGGAGTGGTCTTCTTTCTGTCCCAGAACCTCAAACAGGCCAACCAAGTCTCTGTCTCAGTTTCTCCCCTTTTAACACTTAAAGTGTGACATAATGCTATATTAGTGTTTTGTGTGTTTTCTGCATGTATCTATGTGTACCTTGTGTGTGTGCAATGCCCTTGAATGCCAGAAGAGGGCACCAGAGCCCCTAAAAGTGGGGTTATAGCTGGTTATCACCAGAAACCAAGTGTTCTCTGCTGAGTCACCTCTTAGCCCCAACTGAATAGTATTTTGTTTTTAGTCACATACAAAGGGAAGTGACTCCCCAAACTCTTCCTTTCAGGGCCCGAAGCACTAAAGGTACTGAATTTAGTCATGGCTTGCTCAGAGTGAATGCTTAACCCATCTCAGACGCAACTGATAAATGCACCGGAAGTTAACGACCTCAGCTGCCTTTGTCCACAAAGAGAAGCCTTTGGAGTAAACAGAGATCACCTCCTCTGTGTCCCACTCACCATGCAGAGAAACACCTTCTCACCCCCACTGGCCATCCACTCTTCCCTGTCCTGCCCCCCACATCGTCCTCTCCCCTAGGACACAGCTACCCCTTTTCAGTTCCTGACTTACCCAAGTTCCTGCTAAACAAAAGAAAAGTTCGTCACTCATCAGCAAAACCCACCATTCTTCTTCGTGAAGTGGTGAACTGGCCACCTCTGTCCCCTGCCTCCCTCCTGGTCAGGCTCAACTGCCATGTCCATTCACCAGCGAGTCTGTGAATCTTTTCCTGCCCTCAGCGTTCTAGCCACATCATGGCATATTACAAGAGGGCCCTTTCAAAACATCAGGGCAAGTCTCTTTCTGAAGACACAACTCTGGGTCAAGACAATGGCCTCTAAGGCCCTCAGATCGTCTGTCCCAGACCTTTTGGCCTGCCTTCTTATTTCTACCCAACCTCCCGGGTTCTTCCTTAAATGCCCCAGTGATGTTCTTGCCTTCACATTGCTGCTACCTCTGCCTGGACACTCTCCTGTCCCTTCTCTCCTTTTACACCTCCTTGGTGAGATCTTCACCCACTGTCTCGTGTAAAAGTTACAGTAACGCCCCTTGTCTCTCCTCCCCCAAGAACATTTCCCCCCTGTTCTCTTTGTCCCCTGCCATGGACCTCCCTGTGACCTACTACAAAATCAGCTTGTTTATCTCTTTCCATGCACACTAGACAGGAAAACCCATCCCCCAGCCTCTGTGTCTGATTCATTTGTTCACACATCATCCACGCGCTATAGATAAATATTAGCTGAGAGAATGAAGGTGAACATATGGACAGGTTCATTATCACTGTGTTTTGCGAGGTCTCGTTGTAAGGAAGGACCCCATACCTGGGCATCTCTGAACCAGCTCTCCTGTTCCCACCTACCTCAGAATTTGGGTGTGGCACAAGTCATCTTCCCACAACCATTGCGGCAGCATTTCATGTTGCCAGGACACTGGCTATCCACTTGGCACTGGTCCTCACAGATGCCGAGCTTGGGGAAGTCCACGCTGGGGCAGGAGCCCTGCTTTTCTGGGTAGGCAGAGGAGTAAGGGGGGTAAACTGGGGGATCTAAGTAGACAATCAGCAAAGTTCGGTTGAACTCTGCCCTGAAGTTGGATCACCTGGATCTGCCTACCTGAGTTGCTCGTGGGAACCTGAGTTGCTCTCAGAGGTCCTGGACCCCTATTTCTGCTCTCAGATGGTTTTGAAATCACAGAACCTCAACCTGAGTCACACAGCTCTGCCATTTTCTACCCTTGTGGCCGAGGACCCAAATCTCCCTAGCCCCCGTCTTTAGATGTCACATGGAATCCCTGTCACTACACTGTGGGGTTCTTACAGAAACAATTATCGCCCCCACACACCACCCTGAAAAATCAAACTTCTTGATAACAATAAGTAATTCCCTCCACTTTCCACCTTGCTGCTTTCTTTGCCTTAGGACTCCTAAGTATAAACACTCTGCTGCATCCCTGGGGAACATAGTAAATGCAAAATAGGGGGTGGGGTGGTGGCCGCGATCAAGGCCAGCAACTACAAACCTTTGTGTTTCCCTCTTGCTCCCACCCCCACCTCCTAGCCTCAGCTTTTCTCTCTTGGAAATGAGAAGCTTAGATTCCATACTACACCTTCTTCCATGGCTACATCTGGTGCCGTGGTGACTTGACCTTCCTCTGATAGAAAAGTATGGTTGACTGATGAAGAAGTATCCCAGAGCTCTTCCTCAGCCAGTCCTAAGGGTGGAGACGGTTTTTAAAGATAAAGGAGGGAAAGCCAGAAAGTGTCAAAGAAAGAAATGGAACCTCTGCCAGCCACAGGATGGCGGTGTGACTTTGTGCAAGAATATTTCTTTGGGCTGCTCACTTCCACAGACGTAGGGTGTGGCAAAGTTCTTTCCCGCCCTCGGGGAGAAATCTGAGGCGTCTAGTCAGGCTAGACAGTGGAAGGTCCTGAGGGAGGGACTCCAGAGGCAAGAGGTCCCCAGGGCTCGGGTCCCAGACCTGATGCCACCCAGGGATTGCCCACAGTCTCCAGCCAAGGAAGCCACTGCGCCCGGGTCCCGGAACAAAGTCTCGCTGTGCGT